AGGGCACACGGACCCCTCACCGGCCCGGCCCAGGTGCCGCAGCCCCGGGTGGGGAAGCAGGGGGCTCTTTGGGGGTGCAGCCCCCTGTGAATCAGGAGTGTACGAGCAGCCAGGCTGGAAACACCTGGGAACGGCCTGGAGGGGCCGGGGTGATCCCTGGCACTGGCGGGCAGAGCAGGAGCCCCCCGGGTGCCAGGGGCAGCCCCACAGCCCCTCCCCAGCACAGGGGGGCCTGGCCGTGCCAGTGCTGCCCCCACCTAGCTCCACTGTGCACAGGGCAGGGGGCTGCCTGGGGGCAGCTGGCAGTGGGCCTGGGAGGGGCGCACCCCCATCCTGCCCCGGGGAGGCACAGGGGGACAGCGGCAGGTCCTGGCTCACCCCAGGGTGAGTGGGGTGCCTGGGGGCAGCAGCCCAGCCAGCCCCCTTGGGAGTGCCAGGGGCAGGGGGGCTCCAGCTGTCTGCTGCGTGGGGCCTGTGCCGAGGAGCTGCTGCGCCCTGCCCTGAGGAGGGGCTGTGGGATGAGGGGGGACCCAGCCCTCTGGCAGCTCCCCACACCCAGGGGCCCCCCCATCCAAGAGCAGGCCTGGGCTGTGGCCCCCACGAGCCCCCGGCCACAACTGAGGTCCATGTGTGCTCCTCCATCCCGTCCGGGGGGCACGGGGGCTCACTGCTCCTCCAGCCAGGAGGGCTTCTCGGCGCCGGGGGTCTTGAGCTTGATGTTGAACTGCTTGAGGGTCTGCTCCAGCTGCTGCTGGTTCCCAGCAAAGTACGCAGAGATGGCGTTGTGGAACAGCAGCAGTTGCTTGTGCATCACCTTGATCTGGGGGGGAGGGATCATGACTGGGGGGCCTGAGCCCACCCCAGCAGCACAGAGAAGGGGTTGGAAAGCCCTCTGAGACCCCCTGAGCCACCGCTCCCCCTCTGCACCGCCCGTTCCACCCAATTCGTGTCCTTGCGTGACAAATCCAGCGTGGCTGTCAAATCCCTGCAGGACCCCATCCCTGTGCCTATCCCTGCACTTCCCCCCATCCCTGCCCCAAACTCCCCCTCCTCATGTGCCCCATTCCTGCCCCATCCCACCTCTGTCTTGCATCTCCCACTCCTGTGCCCCATCCCCACCCCGCACCCACCTTGTTCTCCTCCAAGAACTTGAGCTTGATGGCCACGTCCGCCCGCAGCTTCTCGTACTTGTCCTTGTGGCTCTGGAACTGGCTCTGGGCGGCGTCCAGGCGGCTGACGGCGCCGGCGTCGCGTGGGCCCATGCTCAGCTCCTCCAGGTCCGTGCGGTACGCGTCGTACTCCAGCCTGCGCGGCGCCCCGGCGTCACTGACCTGCCCCCAGGCCTGCCCGGAGCCCCTAGCCCCCCGAGCCCCGGCCCACCTGGCCGTCTCGTACTGCTTCACCGTCATGAGCGTGTCCTCCATGGTCTTGTTGACCAGCGTGTTGATGCTGGACACAAAGAAGTTGACGGCACCCAGCAGCGTCTCCCCGTTCTTGCACAGCAGCTTCTGTGTCTCTGCGTTGTACCCAAACTCCTCCTGGGGACACAGGGATGGGGCACGGTGAGGGGCCACGGATCCCATCCACGCTCCCCTCCATCAAGGGTGCTGGGGGAAAAGCCCCCTGAGACCACCAGGGCCAACCATGATGCAGCACCACCCAGCCCACTCCTGTGCAGGTTGTGTTCCTGCCCTGGTGTCCAAGCGTGAGCCCCCAAGCCCTGACCCCCACAACCCCAGGGCCAAGCCCCAGCCCAGGAGTCCCTGCCCTCACTGCAGCGTCCCCCCAGCCCTGGCACACCTGGAGCTCGGGGGATTTCTGGCTGAGGTCGGCAAAGGCGTCGCCCAGGGCGTGCTGGGTCTGCACGAGGCTGTAGAGGTGGGCCGTGAGCGCCCGTGCCAGGTGCAGCACGCTCTCGTACTTGCGCTTGGTCTCCCGCAGCAGCTCGATCTGGGTCTCCAGCTCCAGGTCCACTGTGCGGGACCCCCGGCCGAAGCGCTCCGACAGCAGCTGCTTGGTGCACTGCAGCACGGGGAGACAGGGCCCCCAAGGTATGTGTGAGACCCCCAAACCCCTCTGAGAGCAGCTGCTGGTGCACTGCAGCAGGGGGAGATGGGGCCCAAGGTACATGTGTGAGACCCCCAAACCCCTCCCACAGCAGCTGCTTGTGGGAGGGGGCAGGAAGGCCCGCCGGTGTCCCCTCACCCCTCACCTTGTAGGTGTTGATCCCCCACTTCTTGACAATGTCAAACTTCTCCACGGCAATGCCACGCACGACCTCCTCTCCACCGGCTGGGGGTCCGGGGGGCGGTGGGTGCAGCCCGGGCCCTGGCACAGGGACAGGGATGGGAACCTGGCACCAGCTCCAGGAGGGCAGCAGCCACGGGCACCGGGCAGCCCCAGCCTCCAGAGCCCTTGTCCTGGAGCTGTTCCCACAGCGGCGTGCCCAGCTCCGGGCACACGCCCAGCGCTGGCTCACAGGCATGGTGGTGAGGACCCTGCTCCTGCCAACCCCCCTGAGGGTCCCACACGGGGGCACAGAGCCCAGCCCAGGCATTTCTGCTTGCACCAGGCCCTGCCCCATGCTCACCAGGCTGGACACAGGGGGAACACTGCCCAGCAGCACTGGCAGTGCCTCCGGTGGGCTCAGGGGCAGAGGAGCCAGCTCTGAGCCCTGGGCCCGTCAGCGCTGTGCTCTGTCCCAGCACAGGGATCAGCAGCAGGCTCTGGCCGTGGCACAGCCGCCCTGGGCTCTCCCCAGCGCCCCAGGGGAGGCCAGGCCGGGGCGGGGCCGTACCTGCGGGCGCCGCGGGCGGGCGGGCCATCCTGCGGGCGGCGGGCGCGCTGGGGGGCACCGGCGCTCCTCGGGGGGAGTGAGGGTGGACAAGAGAGCCTGGAAACGGGGGGGCTGCGGGGCCGAGCGGGGGGCACAGGGCACGGGACGGGGGGCAGCGAGGGCAGAGCGCACGGGGGCAGGGACGGGGACGAGAGCGCGGGCGGGCGGCAGCGGGAGAGCGACGGCAGCACGTGAGCCTCGGAACCCAGAGACACGGCCACAGCTACACAGACGGAGCCCCAGGCCAGGAACCCCCCTCTGGCCCGGGGCAGGAATCCCTGGCCCCGAGGGCTGGGCAGGCCTGGCGTCACAGGGACACAGGGCCAGCAGTGGCGGTGCTCCAGGGAAGGGAAGCACACACACGTGCACTCGCCCTCTCTGCCCACACAGGCCCTCCTCAAGCCCTGGGGGGACCCTCAGGGAGAGGTCTGCGTGGAACAAGGACAGTGGTGCCACGTCTCCCGGGCTGCAGAGCCCAGCTGGCCCCGCTGGCACAGCAAGAAGGGGTCAGTGAGGTGTGGGTCGGGGCTCCCTGCCTGCCCCCTCATCCCTAGCACACTCCAGAGCTCCTGCTGCACAAGGACCAGGACACACCTGGGATCCACCAGCACAGCAGGGACTAAGAATCCCACGGGGATGTCCTGGCCAAGGGGATGGAAATTCCCAGCAGAGAGCCCACCCTGTGATAGGGGAGCACACAGCCCAGGAGAGCAGAGCTGGGGCAGCAGCCCCTGCTCTGCCTCAGTACAGAGCCCCCCACGCTGCACCCGCACAAAACCCGAGCCCTCCAGGAGACACCCCGGCTAGGCCTTGTGCCATGAGTCAGGGGCACTGAGGGGAGCTGAGCCCCTCTGTCCCACGACAGCCCCGCTCCCTGCCAGGGCAGCCCCAGTACCTTTGATGGTGCCCGTGGGGATGATGCCTTCGGCTGTGCCCCCGTAGCCGCCGGACACGATGCTGGTCTCGTTCAGGTTGGGTCCCGACACCATCACCTGCTGCAGGTCCTGGGGGGCACAGGAGCACAGGGGGTGAGCCCTGGTACAGCCCCACACACCCCCGGGCTTCCCGAGCCCCGGACCTGCTCCAGGCCATCGTCCTCGGGCAGGCTGCTGGTGTCCCCGTTGCTGCTGATGGGGATCTCCATGGTGGCTGCCTTGCTCAGGATCCCGTCCGACATCCTCAGGGCCTGCAGGGACACGGACGAGGTGCTGGGGCCAGGACCCCGCCCGGCCGGGGCACCGGCAGCACCCGCGGGGCCGTGCGGGGCCAGCAGGAGGCCGCAGCGCAGGGAAGGGCCCGCACCGGCAGCCGAGCAGCCGCTGCCCCCGCCAGGGCCTCCTGCAGCCGCTGCCCCCTCGGGACAGCCCCGCTCCCGGAACGGACCCGCAGGGCGGCACGTCCCACAGGCACCGATCCCACCGCGGCTGTCGGCCCATCGCGCCCGGGACTGCCGGGCTCCCGCCCCTCGGGCTCCCGCTCACGAACCCCGCCGGGGATCCCCGCAGACCCTGCCCGGGACGGCGGCGCCCAGCACGGCCCCGGCCAGGAGGGCGCCCGGAGCCACGTCCGCAGGAGCGCGGGGGGGCCGCAGCGCCCGGACCGGTCCGGGCACATTCCAGAGCAGGCGGGGCCCGGGGCGGGCTCCGAGAGCCCGTTACCCGCGCCCTGTCCCCTCCCCGGCGGGCACGGCGCCCGGCCCGGCTCCAGGGTCCGGCCCCGCGGGCACAGCCCGCCGCCGCCCAGGGCCATCCTCGCCGGTGAACGGCCCCGCAGTCCCGCAGCCTCCGGGGCCGGCGGGGGCAGCCTCGGAACGGAGCCGCCCGCAGCCACGCACGGCAAGGCCCGGCACGGGACCGACCTCCGAGGGAACCCCCGGGGGCCGCTCCAGCCGGAACCGGCCCGAGCGGGCGGCGGCGGCCCGGCCTCGCTGCCGAGGCTGTCCCGCCCGGCCCCACCGGACCCGCGGCCGCTGACCCCGCCCGGCCCCGGCCCGGCCCCACCTGCGCCCCGGCCCCGCCGGGCCCCCCCGCGCCGCTCCCGCTCCGCCTCGGCCCGGACGCGCCGAAAGTGGCGTCAAGGGCCCGGAAGTGGCGTCATCGCTGAGCCGGGCGGAAGTGACGTGCCGGAGTTCGGCGTGTGGTGCCGCGGGCGCGGAGGAGCCGGGCCCGGCATGGACCCGGCGGCCGAGCACCGGCAGCAGCTCCGCAGCGTGAGCCTCGGGCCGGGGGCGGGGGGCGGCGTGGCCCGCGAGGCCTTCATGGGAGGTCCCGGCTGCGGTGGCGTGTCCCGGCGTGTCCGGGTCTCGAGGCGCCGGGCTCGCCGGAGAACCGGCGGGGTCCTGGAAGGGACCCGGGCGTCGCGGGCTGGCCGGAGGGCACTGCGGGACTCGCCGTGGGTGTCGGGGGTCCCGGCCCCCTCCGCCCGGTGTGACCCGCGCCTGCTCCCCAGCTGCGGGACTTCCTGCTGGTCTACAACCGCATGACCGAGCTCTGCTTCCGCCACTGCGTCTGCAACCTCAACTACCGGCTGCTCACGGGCCGCGAGGTGAGCGGGGCCCGGCGCCCGGGGCCGCAGGCCGGGTGTCCGCCGCCCCTGACCCCCTGTCCCCCGCAGGAGTCGTGCCTGGACAGCTGCGCCGCCAGGCTGGTCCGCGCCAACCACCGCCTGATGGGCGCCTACGTGGGGCTGGTGCCCTCGCTGCTGCAGCGCCGCGCCGCCGAGCACGCGGCTGCCGCGCCGCCGGCCGCACCGCCGGCCGCCGCTGAGCCCGCGCCGGGCCCCGCGGAAGGCGCTCCCGCTGCCGGCACGTAGCAGCAGCTGGCCGCAGCTCCCCGCGGCCGTCGGACGCCACTGGCGGCAGCCCGGCCCGCACCGGCCGGAGCGGCTGCATCGCTGCTGCACGGAGCCCCAGGCCGGAGCAGCACCTGCGCTGGGCCCCGGGAGCCCGAGCTGCGGCTGGGCTGTGCCGGGCACCAGGGAGGGGGGCACAGGAACAGGGGGAAGGCCCCCCTAGCCCTCCTGGTTGTGGATTTCTGGGCAGTGGACTGTGAGTACCAATAAAACATCTTCACAGTAATGGCTTAGCGTGACGCCTGGGAAGGGCACCAGAACCTGGCCTCTGTTCCCTGTTCGGGGGAGCCCATAGCACAACTGGGAATCCCGGGACTTGCACCTAAATATGAGACAAACCTCTCCCTGCAGGAGCCCCAGGACACTGTGGGGCCCTGAACGTTCTCACTGCAGAGGGGGCACTCAGGGCAGTGTGGGGTAGGTGCCAGGTGCTGCCAGGCCCGTGCCCTGAGCTGCCGTGCTCAGGGCACGTGTGTGCCTGGCCCTTGGGGGAGCCTGGCAGCAGCCCCTGGCAGAGGGTGGCAGCTGCAGGCCCAGGACAGGGCTTGGGGCAGGTAAGCACTGGCCCCAGTACAGAAATAAAGTGATATATTCGTGTACAAAACATGCTCCTGCGGCCCGGCCGGGCACTCCCGCGCATATAAATAAGGCCCGGGCCGGGCTCCCTCTGTCCTGCCCGCGGGGGCCAGCGCCTGCGCCGGGGCCACCCCTCCCGCGGGACCCCCGGGCTGGCCGGGGTCACTTCAGGTCCACGTCAAAGTCCAGCACCAGCAGCTTGGTCTCCTCGGTGCCGTTGCGGCTGCCCACGGCGCACACCAGCTTGGTGTTGGAGGCGCGGATGCGCCACACCACGCCCCCGGAGCCGCCGCTCTCCAGCGCCACCAGGTTCCGCACGAACTCCCCTGTCTTCAGGTCCCACAGCTTCACCGTGCCGTCGTCCGAGCTGGTCACCACGAACTTGGAGCTGAACTGCAGGCAGGTGACGGCACTCTGGTGCTTGCTGGGACCTAGGGGGAGGCACCCGTGAGCGTCACAGCCGCTGCTGGGTGACATGGCACCTCAGAGCCAGCCCAGCCCCAAGGGAGAGAGCTGCCCCAGCCCAGCCCCGCGGCCCCCCGAGGGTGAGGAATGAATGCCCTCTCACCCTGCAGCGTCTGCAGGCACTGCCCCGTCTTGATGTCCCAGATCTTGACGGTGGAGTCGGCGTTGCCGGACACGAGGATGTTGTCGCGCAGCTCCATGCCGCTGGTGAGGGACTGGTGCCCCATGAGCGTGTGCAGGCAGTTCCCACTCTCCACATCCCACACACGGATTGAAGTGTCCAGGGACCCGCTCACGATGTGTGTCCCATCAAACTGCCAGAGGGAAGGGGTCTAGCTCAGTACCAAGGACAGGAGTGTCCCTGCTTTGGGGTGCAGCCCACAGCTCTGGATCCCCTGGTTTGGGACACAGCACCCCCCAGCACCAGCAGCACCACTGGAGAGCCCAGTTCTGCAGATGAGACAGGCTCACACACCTCTTGGCTTTTTGGACTGTAGAAATGCTCCAGGAAGGGGCACGGAGGAGTGTTTGTGTCCACAGCATGTGTGTGTGGGGAGTTGGGTCAGGGGGGCAGAGACTGTCCCCACAGGACACAAACACGGTCCATGCGTCCTTGCAGGGCAGATATATCCCCTCCAGGGCACACATATCCCTGCAAATCTCACAGGGCCTTGCATGACACAGGCACAGCCTGTTGGTCCCTACACCACACGTGGGACCTCTGGCACAGCTTGTGCCCATGACTGGAAGGCAGGGGAGCAATAGGGCAAGCCAGCAGGAAGGCAGGTTGTACCTGAGGGAGCAGGGAGAGCAGGATGTACCTGGAGGCCTGGAGGGATGTACCTGAGGGAGCAGGGAGGGCAGGGCAGCTGGGGGGGGAGCAGCAGGAGGGGATGCACACGGGGCTGTACCTGGCAGGGCTGTACCTGCAGGGTTGTATCTGAGGGAGCAGGGAGGGCAGGGCAGCTGGGGGGGAGCAGCAGGAGGGGATGCACACAGGGCCGTACCTGCAGCGAGTAGACACGGTTGGTGTGCCCCTGCAGCGTGTGGGTGCAGCTCTCGCTCTCGGGGTCCCACACCTTGACTGTGTAGTCGTAGGCACCGCTGACCACCTTGTTGCCGTCGTACTGGACGCAGCGCACGGCCGCCACGTGGCCCATCAGCACATGCAGGCACTGCCCCGTCTCGATGTCCCAGAGCCGCAGCGTGGCGTCCCGGGAGCCGCTCACCACCCTGCGGGCGAGGGCACGCGTGGGGCCCGGCTGCCAGGGCAGCGTGGGTGAGCGCCCCGGCCCCCTGGCCGTGCCCCTCGCAGAGCGCCCGCAGCCCCTGCCGTACCTGTTGCCGTGCAGGTGCATGCAGCGCACGGTGGAGGTGTGCCCGTACAGCGTGTGCACGCACTCGCCGCTGTCCGCGTTCCACACCTTCAGCGTGCGGTCCGTGGAGCCGCTGATGACGATGCTGTCCCTCATCTGGGAGGACCAAACCCCCCCCGTGTGGCCCACCAGCGTCTGCACGCACTGTGGGGAACAGGACACGAGGGACAGGTGAGCCTCTCGCAGCTCCCCGCCCCCGAAACAGCACAGAGGAGCAGCGCAACCCCCTGTCCTGGTCACAAAGGGCCCAAACCGACCCCAGGAGCCAGGGTGTAACCCCACCTGTGCCCAGCACAGGGAGAGGGTCCCTGCCCCAAACCCCCGCGGCACTGTGACAATGCCACACTCACTGCCCTGGTGACAGTGACGCTCACCTCCCCTGTGACAGCTGACCACACTTTGAGTGTGTTGTCATCGGAGCCGCTCACTATGCGATTCCCACAGAACTGCAGGCAGGTGATCACATGGTCATCGTGGCCCTTCAGCACCTGTGGGAGTACACGAGTGTGTGGCGGGCAGTGCGGCCTCTCCAGCCAGCAGGACCCCCAGCACAGTGAGCAGTGGCAAGGCAGCAGAGCTGGGGTGTGTGGTGTGTCTGGCAGCTGCTCAGGGGCAGGGGTTACAGGAGAATAGGGAGTGGGGGGCTCAGGAACCCAGCAGCAAGAGAAGGGGTGGCGGGGACTCTGCCCAGAGGAGGGAAGGACCCCCAGGGAGAGATCACCAGGGTCCTGGCACCCTGCACAGAACACAGTTGAGCCCTGTGATGCTGCACCTTCCCTGGGTGCTGGGGCTGGCTGCAGCCCTGCATGGGGCCTTGGAGAGGGGCAAAGGAAGGGACCCCCTTCTCCAGGCCCAGGGGACCTCATTTCTGCTGCCCTCACTGCTCTGAGCAAGCCACATCTGATCCCCATGGCAGATCCTGTACCAGCTTCCCCATACCAGTGACCTGGGCTCTGTCCCCAGAGGGAACCCACCAGCCCCTCAATTCTCCATGGCTCACCTTGGGGACGACAGCCCCCCACAGCCTGTTCCCAGGGACACTCAGACCCACTTTGGGGAACCACAGCTTCCCAGGGACAGCCAGACCCACCTTGGGGGGCCGCAGCTCCCCGCTGCGCCAGTTCATGTCGATGCGGTGCTGGCGCAGGAAGGCGAATTTCCAGGGGCTGTACATGAAGCCGGGGCTGAGCAGGCGCCGCTTCCGCAGGTGCAGCGGCTCCTCGATCCCTGCAGGGACAACACGGCGCTGCCTCACCTGGGTCAAGCCCGCGGTGGCCCCCAGCCCCAGCCGGGAGGACCCTCACCCTCCTCACGGCACTTCTCCCTCCAGAGCAGGTTGTCCTCGGCCAGTACCCTCCAGTAGCGGCACGTCTGGGCGGCACGGAGCAGGTCCCGCGGCTCCAGGAAAGACAGGACGTACAGGGCCAGCTGCGGGGGGATAAGGGTCACACAGGGGGTGCCAGGGGGGATGTCAGGCCAGGCCCTGGTCCCAGGCTTCACTCACCTCCTTGGGCAGCAGGGAGATGAAGTCCCGCTGGAACTGGGGCTCGATGACCTGCATCATGTACTTGATCTGCGCCGGCTCGCAGCGGTCGATGAGCTCATCCAGGGCCAGCAGCTTCTCAGGGCCGCTCCAGCGCTGCAGGGGGACCCCCGGTGACCCTGGCTCTGTGTCCCCAGCTAGCCCAGCCACAGCCCTGGCAGCCAGGCCTCCTGTCCCAGGCCAGGAGCCTGAGGCAGCTGGGACTTTGGTGGGTCACAGGTGCTGTGTGACAGGTGACACCATGCCTGGCCAGGCTGAAACCTCCTCTGTGCTTCCTCATCACAAACAAAACCACCCAAAATCCACTGTGGGCCCAACCCCTGCCCATCGTGGGGATCCCTCCCGTCGTACCCAGGCTGCTGGAGCCAGCAGGTGACCGTACCTGGAAGGTGCGGAGCCAGTCCTGTAGCTCAGGTGGGGGGGCCACCGGGGGGATGTGCCGCCGCCGGGCCTGCCCCACCTTGGCATTGCGCAGGTCCCCAAAGGTGGTCGTGGGGCTGGGTGTGCAGGGACCCAGCGTCCTGGGAGAAACACAGGCACAGCTGAGGCCAGGGCACAGGCGGCCAGAGGCTCTTGAACTGGCTCCTGCCAGCGGGAGCTCCACCCCACTGACCCGTCTCCTTGCTCCCACCCTGCTGACCCCTTGCCCAGCCATGCAGCCCAGCCTGTTCAGCAGACAGGCAACTGGTCAGGGCTGCATCTCCCAGGGCCAACCCCTGCTCGACCCAAGTGGCTCCACCATCCTCCTGGGGAGGGCAGCAGGAGCCATGTGCTGCCCCAGCACACGGGACCCCCTTCAGCAGCTGCACTCAGAGCCCCCCTACCCCTCACCTGCCATAGTCAGAGCCCTTGCACAGCTTCTTCCCGGGGGACAGGGCCCGGCCATCCGGCCCATTCTCTGACTTCCGCTTCATCTGTGGGACACAGCGGGTTGGAGTGGCTGGAGAAACCCAGGCAGACCCCCGCGGACCCCCTGCCCACAGTTGATCCTTGCAGACCCC